AGCAGTGGCGTGCCGTCATTAGAAGCGTTGGAAGCGCCGCTTCCCTCATATTCTCTAAAAAATAAATAAATATTAATTTTAATTATATGAAAATAATCGCACAATATTTTATTATAACCGCATTATGTATCTTATTACAAATTTCTATACTACACGTGGAAAAAAAAATTGCTATTGTATATTAGAATATTAGTGGCGGAGTGGAATCTCCTGTATTTTCAGATTACGAAAAGCCAGATTTGCGCATGCGCTTTACAGAGCACCAACCTCACCCGGTTTAGCCAGTAGAAGCCTTCGACCTTGGGTGAAAGCTGCACACATAAAGATTCCAATTCTATCAAGGACCGGTTCTGGGCTGTTACCCGCCTGCCCACTAGATATTTCGATTACATGAATAACGAGTAGATTTATAACTTAACCCAACCGTTAAGAATTTACTGGTATGTTTTTACGATAGTTCTGTATACTTGACAGGAGTTTATAAAGGCCATTAAAATATTTGATATATTTATTCCGCTCTCCGATTTTATATTACTCACGGATTTCAATGCTAAACCATTGATATTACTATTTCGTATATCCCATCTTTAAGGGGATGTAGAAAAAAACATGTACAATTCTTGTATAATGTTAAAAAAATAACCGTTACTTCGACAGCGTCATTTACGACTAAATTTAACGAATGAGAGAGATGCACCAGATACATAAAAAGTTCTAGAATTTATTTTCTTTAAATTTATGATTTATGTATTCGTTTGTCATAAAAATTTGCCTTTCCACTTTTTCCCGAGACTACAAATATTCGAGTACAAAGTAACTGGTTTCGACTTATTTCTACTTAAGAAGTAGTTAAGTAATTAAGCGATTAGGGAATTAGGGACAAAACCCTGATGAAAGAGCCGGAATATTACTTAAACAAAAGCTTAACCGAACCAATCTATAGCCGAGTACAGTGGGAACTGATTTCTTCGAAATACTGTATTAGATGTAATAAAGACAGAAATTTTTCCAGTTCGACAAGAGTGACTGAAAAGTTGTAAATTTTGGAAATTTCCGTGGACAACACCTGGTCCTAAAACGAATTAGTTAGAAAACAAAAAACGGACAATCTATTAAGTTTAACATTTAGACTTTTACAGCTATGGTGAGAAACGTTTAAAATTTACAAGAACCCTGTCGCGTCTTTTGAGGTATATTAGTGATGCGACAAAATAAACATTTGACATTGCCAAATCCCGAGGGTATCGGCACCCTCGGGATTTGGCAGCCCGCATGCATGTACAGTACACACCGCACACCTAGCAGGACCGTCTCTGATTCCACTCGTAGGGAGCTATTTGACTAAGTGGTTAAGATTTAAAGAGTAAAGAATATTTTATGTTATTTTCATGTACGTTTCATTACAAAGTTATATTTAATTATAATTTTCTTTAAAAGTATATTCATACAATTGAAGAATGTTTTGTACCAGGTATGTATATCCACCACACATTTTATTTCACCAAGTAAGTTTTTATAATTTTATTTTTAATTTTAGCCCTTATATCGTGGCTAGCGATTCGGAATGTAATTGCGATATTGAAAATTTATTTTAAAAAAGTTTTGGCTCGAGATCATATAATGAAAAAGAAAACATTATTAAAAGAGAAAGGCCAATGCCTAAGTTAAATATAAACGCTTCAATAAAAAAATTTGTTCGATATTTTCACGATAAAATGGCTCTGTAAATGCATAAAAATGCATTTACAGAGTGAAATTAGTGTGTGGAATAAGAATGTCTTTGACAATTTAGCTGGCAAAAGACACGAAAAATCGTCGATTCTTTCGTATTTGAAGCAATTTGGAAATCGAAGCGGAATAGAATTTAACATTAGTAAATAATATAAAATAAATATTGAAAATTGTAACGAGATAATTATGGGTAATAGATATATTATATCTAAATAAATAGATGTTATATGTTTTTATCAAAGCAAGAATTGGCATTTAGAGGGCATATGGAATATATTGGATCTAATAACAGAGGTAATTATAATGAACTTGTTTATTAAGTACGTCGGATAAATAATCTATTAAAAATACATTTAAAGAAAGAATTAACTGATTGCCCCTGGATGTCGGCTTCTTATAGCAACACAGCTTCCCTATCATCAAATGTCACGGCACGCCCCTGATGTACAATACAGTACTGTACCTAAAACACGCCATTTTATGCAATATAGTGTATTCGTTGACAATCCAATAGGTTTTTCAGTCAATTTGAATATAGTATAGTCATGCACTTAGGATTGATACGAATAAATTTGCAACGTTCGAATTTGTGAAAATACAAATACCCCAGATAATCCGGCACCAATCTGGTCACGTAGGTACAGTACTTCATTAACAAACTTCTACTTTAACTTAAATTATAAAACATAATTGAGAGAATAAATACAAGAAAAATCATTTGGACGCATCTTTCATCCTTAATCAGTTTCATATCATTTTTAAGTAGACTTTAGTTATGGTGACCAACTTAGAACTTATTTGGAAGTCATAAATGATAAAGCAAGAAAAATTTACTTTACACTAACAATGTGTGTTAGCTCTCAGGAATTTGCATAAAATAGCATTTTAAGTAAACAATCTTCAAATCTAAATTAAATATTTAAGACATTAAAAATTCTTTTTAATATTTTCATAGGCATTTGGCAAGAACTAGTCAAATATTTTTACAGGAATTTTCACTCCAAATTCACCCTTTAGCATATCAAGAATTTCTAGAAAATTTTTCCCCAAGCATTTTGTACATAATAATTAAATTGTTAACAAATTCAAAATTTTATTGTTATACAGAGATCTACAGTACATGAAATACTTATCACATGTCATTAGAAAATTGTGTCTACACACAACTTAATCTACAGTACAATGGTTCTCTTGCACAACTGGTGGTAATTTCATATAGATGAATATGTATAGTACATATTGAAGAAATTACCATTAGTAAACTTTATTTATTTATCGAATATACGTTAGGAAATGCCTTTTCGAGTTCATCTTTTATGCGCAAAAGGTAAACTTGATTTGCAAAAGATTGAATTTGGATGAAATTCACATATTTTGGAAAATCAAGTAATAAATTAAGATTTATTTAACATCAAGCATTCTAAATTTCTCCAACTGTGATTTGCTCATGGTTTGCTTGTGCAATTTAATTTTTATAATATTAAATAAGGGCAGTTAATATTTTAACTATTGTTTCTGGTCAACTCTTACCATTAACACAAAAGCAACAGTTGCGTAGGGAATGATATATATGTTCTATTTTTCTGTCAATTATAAAAGTATCTGGAACAAGATGTTAACATAAGTAACACATTATACAATTCTCTATAAGAGAGTTATAACATTAAAAACTAGAAGAATATGCTTTTATTTTACTGATTAGAGTTACAAATATACTGATATATTGTGTCTATTTGGTCTCAAGTCATTTTTATAATCTCATAAATATGTAAAAACGAATATTTTCACAAACAACAAAAATATAAAATATATAAACTTAAACAATTTGTTCGATTAAAAATAAACTCTCAAATTGCAGATACAATAGATTTATCTTAAAACAATTATATCTACTCATGATTTTGGTTACAAAATATTTGATTATTTTACCTAAAAATATTAGTTTTTCTTTTTAAGTATATTATATATTTCTAATATATTAATGAATAAAGCTTTTTATCATAATTATGAATTTTTAGATTGTTGCAGACTATTTGTGACATCTGATATATTCGATTAATTCCACTAGTGCTTCGGAATCCCTGTAGGCAATCATTCCAGTTTTATTGCACCATCGGTCGACTCCCTGACTGTCCTCTTCGACGGAGTGGTAAGACAGTTGTAGACTGCAGAGGCTATCCTGTAGGTCTCCGGATGCTGTTGCCAGAATTTTCTGATAGCTCACGATGCCTCCACCAAGAGACAGCAGGAGCGAATGTGGTGCACATGCATCCCACCGGTAGGTGGAATGTTTGGAGAGTACATAGAAGTCTGCCAGACCCAGACACACTGCCAGCAGTTTGTATCCGGCTCCAGCGACAAATACGACTTCATATTTCTGTTTTAAGATACGCACTAGTTCTTCATCATCACTACTGCTCATAACTACCCTACCGGTCTGCTTTCCATCTATATGTTTCAGTGATGATTTGTTTATTCCATTCCAACTCAATCCCCAGAAGTATCTACCTGACCACCTAAGAAATAGATACAGAAAAATTAATCACTAGATGTTTATAATAAATAAATTATTAAAAGACGGATTTTGTCTATACCTATTCAAAGTGGAATCCCAAATGTGGAATGGCTGATTAATTACTCCCAAGATGGGACGGCCACTTTCTAAATGATACAAACCAATTAACACACATACGCATTTCAAACCGGATGTAACCAATTCTGATAAATTCAGATCTTCATAGATTCCATAAATATATTCAGATGTGGAATCTGAAGAATATTATTATTTCCAATTAAATGTAAAACACATGATAAGTTGTATTTAAAAAGAATAAAATCTCACCAATGGGATCTATCCAAATTCCAATTTTATCTAATGGTAAATTAACTGCTTCATCAAAAGGTGTAATGATATCAACATTAACATTGCGATGTACAGCCAAGGCTAAGAGTCTAGCTGCTTCTACATTTCCATCCAGAACTGTAGTCAATTTGGAAACTGTACTTTCCTGAAATTTATCTATTACAACAGAAATAGATTCTCCCAAGGCATTAGTAAAACAATTTTCTTCTTCTCCATAAATGTGAGAACCAATATCTGGGTACTAAATATAAAGAATTAAGTTATCAAATTATTGTGATGAAATTAATATAGAATGCAACACTTACTTTTCTATCAAGATCATATCGTATAGTTTCCTGGACTAGCACATCAGCCAGGGTCTTAAAATCTCTGATAAACCGCCTATTTTTCTTATCATCTTTCTTTTCTTCTATCAGCAAAGAGAACAGCTCTCGCTCTGCTCGACAGGAACGTGCAATTTCGGCAGCCTTTTCTGAAACATTTATCACATCACGCAACAAACTATCTGCAGGCTGCAACCTGGAACAGTCTACGGCCATAACCATTCAAAATTCTGCCAACAGGAAAAAATGCAGTATTAACAAAATTTAAAAAATAATTTTTTAAATATTTATATAAAAATCAACTTAATCAATGAATATCAAATTTATTTTATAGCTACCACAAACATTCATGCAAAATGTCATCGTATTGATGTGAAAAGTAATTACTGCAAAAATAAAATTCATTTATGTTTAAAATCTGCAAATTCAAAAGTACAATACAATTAACAGAGATGATTTGGCATTGGGTATTTACTTCAAGTACCCAATGCCAAATTTTCCTTTTTTTAAAACTACTAATACAAAACAATTTAAATAAAATATTAACATATTATAAGAAAACGATAATTCAAAGCCAGTATCCAAAGTTTTAAATTAACAAAGATATACTACTCAAATACCTTATAAACTGCGTCCAAATTTATTAATAATTTCAAACGTTTTTGGTCATTTTTAATGACCTTTATCAAGAACGAATGAAAATCAAATGCTGACTGACTTGTATTAATGATAAATGCGTTTTGGAACACTTAAGAAAAAAAAACTTTTAGTGCGTAATCTCATGCTGTTGGGTTACCATTATAAGTGGGCATAAATAAAATAAGATAAAATAATAAAAACTGATAAGATACATCAATAAATACATAAAAATAAAACATGACCATAAAAGCAAAAACATTAATGCATGTGTAGCTAGATTGCATACTTAATATGCATATTTTTCTAAATGTATTCTCACTATATACTGTCACTTCGCTACAGTTCTTTTTTGTTGAAATGTTACATTATGATTGATCTCCAAGCTGCTGATGTCTTACTTATTTCTCTAAAGTTGACTGCTTGTCCTTCTTGACTGGTTTTGTAAATATGCCAAGCTTCTGCATACTTGGTGTTTTTTGTTGTGAATTTTTTGTATCAACTTTGTCTTATCGCATTCCGCTATAACTTCTAGAGGGTCTGCTAGAATGTATGTTGCTAGCACTGTGACTGGCTGCTCATTTCTTATGTTTCTTTTGTGCTCCATCAGTCTTTCTTTGAGCGCTCTCCCTGTAGTTCCAATGTAAAACAGCTCTTTCTGTCGCCTTTTATCTGTTATTGGAATCCTATATACTCCGGGAAGAATGTTTGGTCTACTTCATCTTTGTCTGCTCTTAACATTTGATAAACTGTATGATTCCTTTTGTAAATTACTTTTTTGTTTGTTGCTGCTCCAATTCTTTTGTAGACATTGTTAACATTTATAAGGTATTTGAGTAGTATATCCTTGTTACAATATGCAGTCTACAAAGAGATTAGTTTTAAATTAAATTAATTAATTGTCAGAATTCCAGAGCACAATACAATGAGAAGCTCTGTAGTGCTTGCAATGTATATTAATTTTGGTTAATTCTTTTTATATATTGTGATGATATGAAACTGTGCTTTACAATTTGTTTATGCTTCTAACACAATAAAGTGGTATAAATTAAGACACTTGACGGGTTTTCTCATCTTTATTTAGTTGAATAATAATTTTTATCTTTTATAGTGGTTTTTCCATTTCTTTTAGTTATATATTTCTCAATCTTATTTGCTAGATTTATTTTGATGATTTTTGATTCTGTATCATTTAACTTATTACATATACGATCTATGTCTGGTATTATGTCCAAAGCATTCCATTGGTTAGGTCCATTAAAATCTAGTCCATTTTGTATTGACAATACAAAATGGACTAGATTTTAATGGACCTAACCAATGGAATGCTTTGGACATAATACCAGACATAGATCGTATATGTAATAAGTTAAATGATACAGAATCAAAAATCATCAAAATAAATCTAGCAAATAAGATTGAGAAATATATAACTAAAAGAAATGGAAAAACCACTATAAAAGATAAAAATTATTATTCAACTAAATAAAGATGAGAAAACCCACCAAGTGTCTTAATTTATACCACTTTATTGTGTTAGAAGCATAAACATAAAAATCTTTTTATATATATTTAAAACTAGCAGGTAAGCCTGGCATTGACCAGGCAAAAAACACTAAAATTATTTCATACTTCTAACCCTTTATCATATTACATTATAGTATTTAGTTTATACAACTACAAAGGTTATCTTATGTAAGGGTTTATCATACCAAGTGACCAATCTAACATAATTTAAAAATTCTTTATTCCTCTACTGTATATCAGAGGTTCCCAACTTGTGTTCCACAGAACCCTAGGGTAATGCCAATAAAATTTGGGGTTCCACAACAAAACCCATTGAGTCTAGTGATATATGAATGTGCCAATGCAGATTTAGGACATGAGGTGTAATTGTTGTATTCTAGGATAGTGTCCTCTGTTGACATCCTGTACACTTGCTAAAGTTATTTAGAGCTTTATAAACAGTACAGACCGATTTATTCGTAATGGAACAAACCAAAGTCATGATATAATGTTTCACAAGATAATGAAATCCATAAAAACTGTAAAACTTAACCTAAAGCTAAAAAATCATAAAAAAGTAAACAGAAGTATCTATCTGTATCTCAAGCCTATTGAATCTAATGTGAATCTAATGATGGGAATGGCCAGTCAGATGCTGTATTGGTAGTATTGTAGTGTATTGCACATACTATGATACTAGTCATAGGACACTCCTCAGACGAGTGTCAGATGTTGCCAAGGGGCTAATGTGAAGAAAACTCTTGTTGTCAGTCTATGGAGATGCGTGAATCCACAACTGACTGCCAGTGTTTGGTGATTTTATAAACTCAGTTATTGGAGGGTACTTGTTAAGCTGCAATTTGAAAAAATTGTAGATTGATAAATCCCCACTTTCGTCAGTCTGTCCTTCCTTAATCTCCAGAATGGAGTTAGATAGATGAATGTTGACACCAGATATGGAAAGCTTAAGAGGAGGTGGTGACTAACTATATACAAATTTCTGGTTTGCACTGGAAGTCATGTTATTTCAATTCAAAAATTTTCCACTAAACAGAGTTAGATATATAACTAGTATGACTCTACTGCTAACAGAAAAAGCATGATGTACAAGGGAAAACACAACACTCTATGCAGGAAAGTGCTGTGTGCTACCTGTTGCAGTAATTAAGTGAATATAATATAATTAAAAAAAAATATATATATATATATCTTTTAATATATTTTTTGTATACATATATATGATATAAATGATATATATATCCTTTTTTTCTCACTGATTCAGGCATTCAGGTAATGACCTTGACTATTCACAATAACGTTGTATGGGCTATTCTATTTTGTGGACATACCCTACTCTCTAGTAAATACAGTAGAACCTCCATTATCCGGATTGTTCAAAATAAACAAAAATTTTACGAATTTGCTGATTTGCACTTGGCGAATTACGACACTGTTTATGTACTTGATGGAATGCATAACATTTTTTGTTTCAACAACGTCTCACTCAGCACAGTGGTCGTAAACTCATAAATATATTTTACGCAGTAATAAAAATATAACTTGACATACGTATTTATAAATAATTTATATTCAAATTACATCATTTCTATGACCAAGGGCGGCGTAAGGCATGGACGACGTGGGCCACCGCCTATGCCTCGCGGTCCGAAGGGCCTCGCGCCTCGAAGGTTTATGCATTACTTAAAAGCCGCGAACGCGACGAAAAAATTTTACTCGTCATAAAACGATAAATAGTTTGTCAAATTTTTATTCATAAAAATGCAGTTTCAACTGCTTTTTATTTTATAAAATCCGTCTTCTTGCGCCACCAGAGGGCCTTTTAAACAATAGGTAGTCTGTTAGCGTTGGTCAGTAGTAGTCCAAATTCAATACGAACGTTTGTTACTTGAAAATTTGATCACGATTTAAATACAATATTTATTTTTAATATTACCGATATGTCATCGAAAAGAAAATGTGTTGTATCATCATTAAAAGACAAATTAAAGTATTTGTTTCGATTATCCGGATTTTTCCTTATCCGGACTACCTTCATCCCCAATTAGTCCGGATAATCGAGGTTCTACTGTAATTATGGTTTTTCTGTTTTTTTTAATAATGATTTTAATTTATATAAATTTTAATCTAATTTTTTTTGTAGATGTCCTATAAGACGACCCCGGACTTTGGGAGCCTTTCTTTTTATGATTCAACTATCATCTTATCTGCAGAAATATATGGTAATTGATTTATAGAAATCCAATCAATATTCTGGGGTGGGATGCATGACATTATCTGTTAGAAGTATGTGAATTTAAGTGTCAAGTTTTGTAGCAATTGACCAAATGATCTAGGTGTGCATAGCAAACTAACAAACAACCTCATTTATATACGAAGGTAATCCCAAAAGTAAGGTCTCCTATTTTTTTTATAAGTTCAAAGAAATGTTTATTTTCAATGAATTCACATCATTTTAAAGCTTGAACATTTATCTATTTTTCTGCATAATTGTCATTTCAGTTGATGCAGTTTTGTAGGCACTGTGGCAGTTTATGTATGCCCAGGTCATGGGACCCATCTTGTGCACACCTTCCGATATTGGAACTTTTCCATTAAAATCCTATGAATAGTGTTTCAGGAAACCTGAGGAACCAAAATGCACAGATAATCTGTAGAAACCTGTAAATCTTCATGCATGGTTTGCTCAAGCTTCATCACTGTTTTGTTGGAAATTGATGGTCTCCCGATTCTTTCTTCGGTGTGAATTTCACTATGACTAGTGGCAAACTTCCTAAACCACCTGCAAACATTTTTGACATCCATGCACGACTCGCCCCACGCTTCTGTCAATTGGCGATGAATTTCAATCGGTTTAACATGAAATGGCAGTGAGCTAGTATGACATGAGCATACAAAAACTGCCACAGTGCCTACAAAAATGCATTGACTAAAATGGTGATTATGTAAAAAAATAGATAAAGGTCCAAGCTTTAAAATGGTGTAAACATTATTGAAAATAAATGTTTCTTTATTTATAAAAAATAGAAGACCTTACTTTGGGTATTACCCTCCTATATAGATGATGGTA